CGTGTACGTGTTATCAAGGCGTGGAAAAAAAAGAAAGAATCAATAAAATCGATGCGCCACCGGCGTGCATTCCGCGCGCAGTCGTGTCCGCGATAAAGGCGCAGCCTGTCAATCAAGATGGTAGCGCGTTGTCGATGTCGGCGAGCAATAATTTCAAAAAATGCAATAATAGTGCGCGCGCGACTGGGACCGTAATGGATAAATTGCTGAGAGCCCGTCTGTACACACCGATAATACGAACAGGCAGACAGGCAGGCAGGCAGGCAGGCAGGCAGAGGCAGGCAGTCGAGCAGTCGAGCAGGCAGGCATGTGGGGTGGATAGATATTGCTTAGCGGAGACTGGAGAAACCCCTCTTTCCTATATTATTCTCCCCATTCCCCGGTATATTTCGTTCAGCGAGTGCGCCGAGTAACGCGCAAACGTTCAAGGAGCTGGCAGAAAAGAAATTAGTTTTAAAGCGGTTGCCGTGAATAATTTTCAATAAGCCCCGCCGAGGAAGGTTCCGCAAGATCGCGGGATCTACAAGAGGGGAGAAGAAGCGGAGTCACGCGGCAGTTTCGGGGATTCGCATCGTCCGAGGAAACGGGAGCAACGGAAAAACCGGAGACGGAGAAAAAGAGCGAACTCGTTCTCGAATCGAACGTTGCGACGCGCACCGTTTTTTTATTTGCCTTGTTATTCGAACATAGACGTTATTTGCGCTCTACAAAATTATCCGACGAAACATTCGGCAACTATTTGTCCGAGTACCCCGAGGCGATCGTACGGCGTTCGATTGACGCGAGAACCGGTCGCGAGTGCGGCATGATAAGCTTGTTCCATTCGGCTGTGAATAAAAACACGTTCGTAGCCATCGATACCGGAGGGCAGGTAACCCGGCGCGACAACGGTATGAGCGAGATACCCGCCCACGCCATTCATCGACAATAATTGCCTTATTGACATTAATAAAACGAGCCAGATACCGACGGGTACGTCATCGGCCGTCTATGCACAGCCGCGGCATGATCACGTGCAGACGAGTGCGTAAATGGTGTCGTTGCGGGGACACGAGGGGGCGAGGGGGGAGGGCAGGGGAGCGTCGCGACGCCGAGCGTTTAACAGAAGACGAACACCTCTCGCCGCTGCACCTCGATAAGATAAAGTATGCGCCAACGGGCGTTTTTCGGACCGATCTTCGACGCGCTTCGCTTTCCCGGTCATAACCGCCCATCCCCCTTTGCGCTGGAAATTGAATCAATCGCGCTACCCGCACACCTCCATCCGGCAATCTTGATTGTCTGCGGATTATACAGCATCGTTCCCAACAAGCGCCAAGATTTAATCGTCGAAAGGAAAGCGAAACGGGCCGGGATATTTGGCTTAGAAAGGCCTAGGAACATTTCAGATCTTCGGCTGCGCGTTGTAGAAATCCGTATCTTTTTAACCCTTTTAGTTGAAAGCTCGAAAGAGTTGTACCTGAGCACAAAACACGCCGAACCTGGTTGGCATAATTTGGCGAGGTCTCATAAAATTATATGGAAATCTTGTAAAATCTGATAAATAGAACATTCGAGAAGGAGTATGTAAATAACACTGTTATTTGTTTAATTAAATATTAAGAAAACAACACTCTCGGGTATAGCCAATAACAACGCATCGGCGTTCGGCACTAAAAATAACCTCTGTGTGAACAATCAAACTGTGCGAAACATGTGTACTTTGTTTAATTTAACATATATATTTTGTATCGATCTTTTTCTCACGAAACGACGTAATATGAAATCGACGTAAATGTGTACAAAGATTAGGAATCCGGAGCTGTTTTGCGGTATCTTGTCAAGAATTGCTAACAACTTGTACATATAAAAGTTAATCAGTATCGCGAATTACATATTACATATTACTCAATTTAGAATCTTTGGGAACTTCAATTATCGAAACTAATCCGGGACACATAACCGTTCGGATAGCAGAGTAGTTATTTAGTTAGAATGCTAGAATAAAATTTCATCGTTTACACGCGAAGCGTATTTCGATAATAAATTTTAACAAATCTACAGGGTATCTCCCAAAAATGTTTCGCAATCTGGAAACAGGAGGTTCCTTAGGTCATTTGAAATCATTTTTGCCTTAGCAAAAATTCAATCCGCGGCTTCGTTTACGAGTTATTAACGAAAAACACTGACCAATGAAAGGCGAGCTCGACTGGCGCGAGGCGTCCCAGCCAACGAAGCGCACGAAGCCCAGCCTTCTCGCGCCAGCTAATCTCGCTTCTCATTGATCACTTTCTTTCGTTAATAACTTGTAAACGAAGCCGCGGATTGCATTTTCGCTAAGGAAAAAGTTACTTCAAATGACCCCAGGAACCCTTCGTTTCCGGATTAAGAGACATTTTTCGGATACCCTGTATTGAAGCCATTCTCAGCCAATACTTTGGTATTGATTCTTTAATGTAATCAGCGAAGTAAAGAAATTTTAATTCTTGCACTATAGTATCATGTTTATATAAATACTTGTATCAAATACAAATATATTTTTATTGAACTTTTGCTTCGTACAATAGACTATAAACATGTTTATTTCTCATGAATTGTTTTCTCTCTCATTGTTTTCTCAATCAGCGATTTTCAGTTGCATCAACTATATTATTTGCGACATGTTAAATGTTGTCTATCAAACTATCAAGTTTTCTTTGAGATCTGGTTCTAACTTGTGTTTAGCACAAAGGGTACTGTAATATACTGTTGACAGATTAGTACTGAATAATCTGTTTCGAATAATTATCAACATAATTATCAACATTATTAGTTTTATAACTTACGGATTGTATTACGAGAGTCCACAACACAGTGCAAGCCTATTAATCTAAATATCTTTTCTTCCGTGTGAATTTGATAATCCCATTACACCAGGCCACCCGCGTGTCTCACGGAATAGGATGATCCATCGATCGAAGACGAGGGTAGAATCCCTCTGTCGTGCCGCATTCCCGACGAATTTCTTGCTCGTTCGAACGGTAACACATAGCGCCAGAGAAAGCGTCGCGAGGCACGAAACCGTCGAACAAATTCACGCGATCGCATTACAGAACAATACAGGCGACGCACAGAGTTGTCGCGTGTGCGCAATGATTAAGAGAGGCATCACTGCCGACGGAGACGGCAACGATCGCAGAAGCGATCGTGGCAGCGATCGCGTAAACGGCGATCCTTGACGGGTTCGCCCGGCGTATCGCAATTTCGCTTCTGGTTGCGAGAGAAAATTTGCGTGACAAGACACCGCGCCGGGACGATCTTAATACATAAGCAAGCTGGCGACACTGGCCCGCCGCCGCCATTGCTCTGGACCGAGTAATACAGATAAAAGCATGGAATCATAAATAATCCATCGCGGAACGGGAAGTGTTACCTTGGCGATGCTTGTCGGGCTCAATCCGCGGAGCGTTTTGCTGGAGGAAAAATCGCAACCAGCTGCGCACAGTAGTCCGGAGATCGGTCATCTTTTTACCGGAAGTCAATTTTTCGATTTTGATATTTCAAATATTTGTTTCTCCCTAGACTGGCAATCGTTTGAAACCTTGAAATTCTAAGTATTAAATTTGTCAGAATTCCTAATGAAATATAGCGTTACAAAGCAAATTTATCGAATTAAAAGTAAAACTAATTATTTGAATGATTTGTTATTAAACATAAGAATGCAAGTTTGGGCTATATTTTCATGTATGCGAAAAAAATATTAATTTTGTCTGTTTTATATCATTTCAGCAATGTGTAAAATTACTTGCAAACCGCTTGTTATATAAAAATAGTGTTTGAAACAGACGTTACGTGGTATCAAGGGAGATATACAATATATAATTAGTTCCACGTTATTTTGCTTTTTTATCAAAATATAGGAGACATCTTGAAGTTTTTTTATAATAATATGTTACGATCGATGTCACAATTCGAAAGATTACTGAACATTGAATCAAAAGATATTAAGATGTATAGTATCAAAAACCAATAATTACCGAGTTATTAGCATTGTCCACCCTTTCGGGCAAATTCACTACTGTGCGACAAAGGCGCGGTTTTCTCACTGAAATCGTACATTTATGTCCATCTTTTTTAATATTTTACGATAAGGCGTTATACATATATCTCCGCTTATGAACGTTGAATAAGTTGAAAAATCTATTTTATAACAACATTTATAAACAAAAATATAATTATAAAGGATATGAATTGAAGATACAAGTTTCAGACCAATTAACAACTAATTCACAGCAAATTATTAAAATATTATAAATAAATCCGCGATTATATTGCTGTAATTTTCGCACTGGCAACTCTTGGCAGCCAAAACGAACACTGCATCCCACTCTATTCATAATTAAGAAATAAAATGAAACTTGAATATATTCAGTTAAGTATCATTGAAAAAGTAGCAGAGATATAAATTCGATATAATTCAGGTACACGCATCATACCAAATCATAGTCCACGATTCCGACAAACTATATACGATTTAAGTTTCAATTATAGAAATATTTTATACAAATGACTTTTTGCCACATTTGGGTGCCTTGCGTCCCACCGCGAGCCGCTCGGAGCGGAGCTGCTCGGCGCGGATCCGCGCGAATACGTAGCAGGCGTATTTACATCGCGGCTTACATCGCGATTATTTTCGCTTCTGGGAGGAGTTCGCCACCGTCTCGAGTATAAGCTAGAGGCAGATAATAAAAGCTCGAGGCAAGAGGCAGAAGCTGACCGGGGTAGTGAGACGGAGACATATACAATATATAGATATATATACAGAGAGAGAGAGAGAGAGAGAGAGAGAGAGAGAGAGAGAGAGAGAGAGGGAGAGGGAAAGAGAGAGTTGAGGAGGTGAAGGGTCTAAACGACGCCGGCGAGGAGGAGGGACGCGGAACGGCGGACAGGGGAGCGCGGGAGGAAGGGAGCAGCGATATTTCACGGGTTTCGCGTGCGGGCGAACTTTAATAATATTCGTTCCATCAGGTATGGCCGGCCTCATATTAAGTCGGTCCGCGGTGGACGAGGCGCGCAAGGGGCGGCAGGATGTGACGAGAGCGGAACGGCCGGGGGCAGCCACGAGGAAAGGAGAGGAGAGGAGAGCATCGTATAGAGATGGTTTGCCGGGGCGAGGCCGGGGCGGCCGGGGAGCGCAGAATGAGACGTGTAATAAAGTGAGTTTTTAATTTCCACCGGTGCCGGTGGTTGGCCCCACGGGGTAGGGGTAGAAGGCACGGGTTTGCCCCCATGCCCATGCTCCGGCCTCGTGGCCTGTCGGCTAGTATTACTAGATAAATCACCCAACAGGCAATAACCTCCCGCCTGCCCGCCCGTTCTTGCTTGCGAGCCACCCCCTGGATCTCTGCCGCCAACAACACTGATACGCACCACCAGACGAACAGGAAGAAGCCGCTGCGAGCGCGAGATCACCGATTTTACACGCTCGGCCAGATACAGGAGCCGCGCCACGATCGACAGGATATTGCCGCCATTTGTTGCCTCGCTGCACCGATTTCAGAAGGAACCGGACTCGTGCGCTACGGCTTTCGTTCTAATTTTTACCCGCCTGATCGACAGCCTTCTGTGAAATCATTGGCTTCGTAACGAGGTTGAAGCGTCGCGTCGCGTCGCGCGCCGGTGCTAATTTACTGCTTAATCTATTATCCGTGTGTTCTACAGGCGTGTGAAAGAATTTAGGTGTCCCTATGTAACGAATTGCTCGTATTTATTAACCGTAAATATAGATATGTAATGAACGCAAGAAATTGAGTTAAGCCACGAAGCGTGCGGATACGCTTTAATTGTTTTAACGCATTCGGTGCGTTCGTAAATCTATTCTTAAGCTATTCCATTCGTAAACTCATCAACATTGCTTTTGACGAAATATTTCGTCATTCCAATAGGACAACCTAATGGGCATGAGGACTTCTTTCGTAGGGAAGACTATTAAAAGCAATACAGTGGTGTACATAATTACAGCCACGAAGTAACTTTTACATTGTCACTAGTAACTGAACAGAATTTAACAAAATATTGTATTTGTACTTATACAAATACGACGTTTTGTTAAGTTCTTTTTAAATATGCAAGGTATCTCAGCTAAAGGAGGTCACCTATATTGCTGTGAATAATTGTAGACTCAAAGTAACTTTTACATTCTTATTAATATTTAAAAAAAAGAACCAAAAGAAACTATATCTGTATATTTCTATTTTTTATTATTTTTAATATAGGAATATACAAATACGATGACCGACAGAAAAAGATATGTGACGAATTTTTATCGAAGAACCGTGTCTCACGCAAGTTTCATTAAAATCTGCATATATAACGTCGATATGTTAGTAATTGTTCTATTATCCGAACATTCGTGTCACTCCACTTAGCCAGGATGATCGATGCTCCACTACGATTTACTAACCTTGGACTACTCTCGTACGACAAAGAACAGATTCACGTAGTTCAGTTCCCAAATTTCGTTTAACGAGAACGAATCAACCGTGTTGTAGGAGAGTCGACCGTATTTTATTGGTAGAAATGTCTCGGCGCTTTTCCCCATGTTACATAATCGTTTGTCGCTAGCTTAGTAGAGTTATCCGCTCTATCGCGTAGAGCAGACACGCGAAGATAGCTCTGTAAGGCATTATCTTGGCTCTGACGAAAGCCACACCTATTCAGGACACTCCATAGAGACGAAACAGTGTGGGTAGTCTCATGTCATAAGATTCAGAATACCTCAGTCTTCTTGTACATGACACCGACATCGGTTCGAGCAGAGGCAATTCGTAGAGCTCTTAGAGCAAGAACAGGTTAAACGTGGTGTAAACGTACGATATTTGAAAGCAATGTCGTAAGTAGATCGATCAGCTGTTATATTTTAAAATTTTATTCTTCTAACTCTCTAACTCTTTAAGGTTAATCTAATAGATTAGCCATCATTTATTTAATACGATTTTTCGGGTTGAATTTTGAAACATTTGTACCATTCCGTATCGCCACAGGAACGAAAAATCTACTGTTATACCGACCATGTATGAACAAATTTGTGCGGATTGTAAGTGTGACATCCTGCGTCCTCATTTCCGGTTGCATAGATCTGTTCAGCCAAATGTCAAGAAGGGTTTAATAGTAGTTTAACACTAAACCTATAAATATGAGAAGACTGGATTTATTTAGATTTTGTACCATTTCAAAGAATTATCAAATAACTGTAAAAAAGAAATCCGGTTAATCGGTTATATATAATAAAATGAATATTTAACAGAGTACGCCATCCGAGGCTGTCGCAATGATTTTGTTAATAAAGAGACAAAAGTGACACAAAGTAAAACGTACGCGTTATGCCAAAGCAAGTGTAAGAACGAGAGTAACGTGATCTATAGAATATCAGTCAAAATTTTCTCGGGCAACTTATCTGCCAGACATAATTGAATTTGAAGAGCCGATAACGCAGCGAAACAACAAAGTCGGGAACTATCACGGCTACCACTGAACGCGTCGAAAGCGCGCCATCAAAGCTGTCTATCACCATCGATCCGGCTCCCTCGCGATCGATTTAACCTATCGTCCTTGCGATATACTTTAACGACGCCTCTAGAGTATTTGATTTCGTTACGAACCCCGATAAAATTTCTTCCCGCTCCGAGAGGAACAGTCAGAACGTCGGAGGCTTTATCTTCGAGCCACGCGAGTTTATCTACGGAACGATTTTTCGAACGGAATAGGAGATGGCCGATCGGCGGCCGAACACATGGCGAAATCCGAAAGCTAATATTTGAAAAGAGGCGGACAGACAGACAGACAGACACGCCAGACGAGGCGGTCCTCCCGTCGAGGAACACGAGCGTGTGCAGCTCGTAAAATTTGGCCGGGGCGTCCCGCGCCGTTTCCCGGCTTCCTCCCAGATAACCTGAGAAAATACAAGGAGTCCCTCGAGGGAACGGACAGCTCGACACTCTTAAGTCCGTCCTGCCAACAAATTAATGTCCCCGGATTACAGGAACGGGCCGCTGGGAGAGATTCTCGCCGGGCGCCGACGGATACGTTTTTCAAATTTACTTTAAACCTGGCGCTCCCAGGCACCGCGGTTTCAAGGCCGAAAATACATACGTCTCCGAGCCGGTGTTTCTACACGTGACGGTACTTTAAAATCCCATGATCGTGGGGTGGCACGTCCAGTGAACAAACACTTAACACGTTGAACGCCACGTTGGTCGCAAATGGATGACAATAATTTTTGAATTGTTTTCAGGATTCATTTTTATTGTAAAATACCATCTGTGACTTAACTTTCTAGTTTCAGTTTCACCAATCAAATCACTTAGATTTCGTGGGAATTTTTGAGGGTTGTGATTTTCGGCACTCAACGTGACGAACCGCACGTATGTTAAAATGATTAGTCATAAATCGTTATCGAAATCGAGCTGTTTTACTACTGGGTTCGCACATCCCCGAACACAATTTCAGCACTTTCTGATAGTTATACTTTTTTTTAAAAGTATAACAATTTAATGAAAAATATGTCGAACGATCAGTGTGAATGAAAAGAAGTTCCTAGGCAAGGGACAGTGATATTCCAGTGAATGAATAATATAATATTTTTTAAGAGGAAACGTGATTTTGAAATTACTTATTATAATATTTTATAAAATTTTGGACGTAAGTGTCTACATTGTATGTAAGGGGAAGGAAAAGTGGAATACACAATATGAATTACTCACGTTTGTTGCTAATAAATTTTCCTTTCTTACGCAGAAGGAATTAAGTTTTAAAGATCTTTCATTTACATTGCAACTTTAAAGATTTCAAATTTCTGAGGTATGCAATAAAATATATTTTCCAAATATTTTTGCATTTCATACATCATGGTGTCTGCAACGCAAATCAATCTATTTAATGCTGCTATTTCCCCCAATTATTTAGAATATAAAAGTATGAAACTTTATCTTCTATTTTTGTATATGAAAAAGTAATATATTTTTTTGTCGAGTATTCTATTATTTACCATAATTAAATACCACTTGCGAAGTACAGCAAAATGAATAAAACAAAAAGTATAATTTATTATATCAGCACTCAACTCTTCTAGCAGAAGCCTTTAGCCCTTCCACAATAATTAATGTCTTAGTCTCATACGCTCCTCAGAAATAATTCCAACATCCTCCCGTAGTTTCCATTTATTTTCATTCTACGCTTTCATTTGACTATTTACGCTTCCCTCACATGCTTTCATAACTTAAACAAATAAAATTGTGTACCACCTGAAAGAGAAAATGTGAGCCACGGGTCAAATCCGACTAGATAATTGCCATCATCCGTGTGTGACAGTGGCGGTGAACATGTTAATGGCCGACAGTGGGTGGCGGAGGTGTGGCCGGCGAGTTCGTTCGAAAGAAAAGCGTCGGCAAACGATCCGTGAAATCGATAATCGTTAATACGACGGGATCGGAGTTTTTCCGTAGACGGAGCATTTTTCTTGTCGCGCGACCGTGTAATAAGTCGTCGGGGATCCGAACGCTGACACCGCGTATCGATCGTTCGGCTGTTCGTTCTTTCGCTTGTTCGTTCGTTTCCTTAACTAACAGGCATAAACACACGGGTTACGAGGGAGGTAGGAGCGGGCACAAAAGCGGAGGAAAGAGCGGACCATAGAGCGAACTGCGACGGAGAGAGCTATGAAAGCAGGCAGATTAGCGGCTTTAATGCGGCACTTCCTGCCTACAAGCCACGGCTGAGGGGGCGAGGTCTGGCAACTTGACTCTGAACTTGCTCAGAAGCTGGGAACACATCTGGAACGTTTCTTCCGCCGTACCTCCTTCGTCGACTCGCCGGGATCACCCTGTCCTCCTTCTTGCTACGAGCTCGCTCGTCTTCTCGCCTCTTCGCTCCGCCGCGCCGCGCCGCGCCACGCCGTCGCTTTTTTCGTCCTACGCCTCATTCTCTTTCCCCATAATCGGTACATCGTGAGTGCTCTCGAGTAATAGGCAAAAAGCCTAAAATTATGTTCGTGTGGTTCGCGTCTACGTACCGCGCAGACCTCGCCGAGACAGACGCCGGGGGCCGGACTCGAAAAAGATAATGAAAACCTTCGGACAGAATACGGATCGTCATTAACCAGCATCGAATCAGACCCACGCGACTGGTTTGCTTGCTATCTTCTTGCACCGATACAAACGCTGATTTTAGTTCCGTTCTGTAAACAGAAATATGGGAGAGCGACAAGCTCTTCCAGCAGTGGGGAATTATATGCATTGTTGGCAGCGAAAATAACAATTTTACTTTGAACAACGACTATACAAAGACTATTGCGTTTACAACGAAAGGTTTTTAGCCGAAATGTGATCTTAGTTGTTTGGCATTATCCAACAACAGTATTTTCGATATAATTTCATTTTCATTTGAGAAATTATTAGAATCAACAAAGTGCTTATCGTTGCAAGTGAACAAAAAAAATGGTACGGCAGGGGGTTAACGCTAGATTGCCAGAGCGAGTTAATTTGACTCACTTATGATTTTATTGCTATATACATGTAGAAAAATATAAATAATTTTTTTGAAAACATATGTTGGTTATTTGAAATATATGTAAGCCATAATTCTCTTAAAAGCCAATTATTGTTTAACAAAAAATTATTTAAGTTTATAAATAATTTTTTAAAAACATATATTGGTTTCCAATAGAATTATATTGTATATATATATAATATATATTATTTAATATTAAAATAATATAATATTAAAAATATTATAATATATTAAATA